GTAATGGGGGTGATGTTGTGTTCTGTATCACCTAGTATTATCTCAAACATAAGTAATGGGGGTGATGTTGTCTACTGTATCACCTAGTATTATCTCAAACATAAGTAATGGGGGTGATGTTGTCTACTGTGTCACTTAGTATTATCTCCAACATAAGTAATGGGGGTGATGTTGTGTTCTGTATCACCTAGTATTATCTCAAACATAAGTAATGGGGGTGATGTTGTCTACTGTATCACCTAGTATTATTTCAAACATAAGTAATGGGGCTGATGTTGTCTACTGTATCAACTACTATGTGATTATTTTAATTCAGCAGATACATGCTAAATCAATACTTCAGCACAATATTCCAATATGCCGGGTGAATGTTTTCCTGTGTATAGGGGCCTAGTAATCAGGTATCGACAGAAGTCTTTCTTACTATTGTATTTGAGATGAAACCGTAGATTGAGTAATTTCAATTAGTTTTATCTATTGCATTATACGTCTTCTCTTTCGTGACACAACGCCACAGTTAGAAGGCTTTGGGCTACTTACTTCAAATATCATTGATGTCTCAATGTCAATGTTTATTGTATATGTGAGAGTGACAGCGTGCACAAATATAAAACCGTCGTCTGTGACAAATTACTATGCAAACTAAAATATACTGGGACAAGGTACGACTTATCTGTCAAAAAGTGAAAACAAGTGATCAATGAATTAATTATAGTTCCAATCAACGCCTTACACATCTCCATTAAGGAGAAAGGTGTAATTTGATAATTAAGAGAATAAGGTATTTTGTTTCTAAGATGAAGTTAACATGCATGTGCTTGGTATTAATGCAATTGCTTTACAACAAGTCCTTAATTGACATGGTAATCACAAACAGACTTAATGAACATCATTCTAGATGCTTACTTGTGAAATATAGCTTTTGTCAATATCAGAACGGTATCACCATCTAATTTGCAAAATGGTTGCTTGTGATCATGGTGCCAATATTAGTTAGCATCGTTTTAACTGGTCTTTCTACAAATACATTTGACTCTCTCTCTCTCTCTCTCTCTCTCTCTCTCTCTCTCTCTCTCTCTCTCTCTCTCTCTCTCTCTCTCTCTCTCTATTGATATCATAAGTTGATAGAATCTGTTACTGGAGGCTGTGAGGCTATTCCAAAGGGAGATCATGACCTTGTAGCTCGAGCATATTTTGACAAGGTTGACTGGGGAAAAGTTAATAAAAAATTAAATATTGACTAGAAGCAATTAGTCTCTGAAAACGTATCTGGGCAAATTCATATTATCGTTCCACTTTTATTGAATTTCTATTGTAAAATGTATTTTGTTACAGCAAAAGTCATGGGCTTCCATTCTTTCGGTGTACAATACTACGATATGATGTCGATACGATAATGAAATTTATGCCATGTCAATTTGATATAAATTTTTAATTTTTCTATTTATTATTTTACATGTACATTACAAACCGACCGTTTTCTTTCCAATTGGAGAGTTGACAATTCCTCTATTAGTTTTTTAGGCAAAGTTCATATTTTGAAAATAACAGATATTTAAGACAGTTATTTAAACTAAAGAAAACAAATTATGAAAAAGAGAGTTTTAAGTAGCTATCCTGATAACAAAGACTTTTATTTCAGACAGAGTGCAAGTGTTCAACTGTATAGCTACAATGTCAATTAAATCTAGATCAAGTCTTAGTAATGTCTCACAACCTTATGAGCGATGTTAGTAGGAACAAAATTAAAATATGTCACAAAAGACAAAATAAATAATAGTTTATAATTATAACCAAAATGTGTATTATGTTCTTCGTCAGTATGTATCCATTGAGTTCTGTCTCCTTATCTGTCAGCAGTACATTTTTATTTCGGAAATCATAATATTGAGAATTTGAGGTGGGAACGCCTTGTATCTGCTGACTTCCACATTGACCATGATGTGAGAGGTACGCTGCTTTCTATCTAATGCATTTCCGTATATTGCCCCGATGTAGCTGTTCTTTTTCTGGGTTTTTAAACATTCTAATGTTTAACCATTAATGTGTATAAAAGAGGTGTCAATAAAGTTGTAAACCAAACTGGAATCTGATAAAATGACGACAAAGAATGTACTAACGGAAAGAACTACAAGGAGATCAGAGAAAAGATACAATAAGAACTAATTAAACCAGATTATACCTAAAGGTAAACATGGTCTGCTTCATAGCAAACACCCAAAGTAATTGTATGTCGATCAAAGAAATGGCAGGTTCTCAAAAGGAAGACAACCTAATCTGCTCTGTATTGACATTTTTATAAACATAAAGGAATATATCATTGTTGTCTTTTAGACATTTACAATCAACTCGCTAACTCTAACCGAGCTACAGACCAGGATGTGATGTCAGCTTCTATACATAAACTTTGCATGTAAGCATCTATTATTACACAACACCCTACCTGATGAACATTTTCATTTACATATTCATGTAGTTGCCTCTTTTCAAAATAACGAAATTATCGACATTACCGTATTGTAATTGTGATCACAGCGTGTAATGTTTCCAATCGGACCATGGGTGGTTAAATAATATATCCTTCCAAACACATTGGTCTCTTTATGTTTTTATGATGTCATTAGCAAATGGCATTTTTGATTGACAATTCTCTTAGAATTGTTATAATTAATCAGGTTTTGACTGTTGCTTGGAAGCAATTTAATTTTTTTTTTAAACAAATGTAAAGTACATGGCTTAGTCACTACTTACTAATGCAAACGAACCTATATGCAAAACACATATACAGGAGCCCATTCACTTAATGTTCAGTGTCAATGTTGACAAAGACTCAGATATTTAGATAGTTGATATCGTTGAACCTGATTGCTGCTCAGTGATTGACTGTGTTGTCAAACTATCACAATCCAAACAATTCATGGTCAAATATCCTACACTCTAAATATCGTCTTAAGGACAGGAAAGATATCTAATGCTTTTCCTTAGCTAAATCCGTATATCTTTATGATAAAATAAACTGCTATCATTTCAGTGTAAAGTGGTACTTTCACATCTACAGACATACATCTGAATATGATTTATTTGACAATTTTCAGTTGATATCAGTGGAATATTGCTTATGGAAGGTAGAGGTACAACGAACACCCTTGTAAAAACAACTATGATAAAGTAAAAAAAAATTCCATTCTTCAGGTTTAATACATAATTATGGCTAATGGCAACACCTGCAATGTAATTCTAGGTCAAATGAAAAATGGTAACGTTAAAAGAAATGAAACCACACGTTCACAATGATCAACATATCGAACCATTCACCATACAAGTATTGATTGAAAAGGTTATTTATTCAAAACCTAGATTATTTGTATTCTTCGCAATTATATCATAATTGTTTCCCGCCAATGGACTATAAATCCCGGGATGGGTGGTTCGATGGTGCAGTGGTAACAGGTGTGAGGGTTACCTGACCGACCGCGTGGGGTTCCCCTGGGTATGCCGGTTAGATCTCTACCGTGCTTACATCCGGGCCCATCCGGATGATAAGTTTAGCGTTGTCTGTTATGTAAAGCCTACACTGAACCGATCGAGATAAAGAGAGGTTCTCTCTAGTCGAGCGTTATATTACGTTATGTAGATTCAAATTGGACGAAAAGTCTTTGTTACATAATATGTGCCAGCGCGAGTCGTGTAAAGATGATTTTTTTTATTACAAACGGAATTAATTCAAAATTCATTGATGAAAGAAAAAAGTTTTAACTACATTACAACATGAGAAGTACAAGATAAAAATGCATGCATATGAGTACATATAAACATTTACAAGATTAGTACAACACAAAAAATATAACATAGAATGCAGAGCCATACAACCGTCGAAGAAGACAGCAGTACTAGGTCAATATAGGTACATCTTCAATATAATTTACAGTGAATTAACAGTAAACATGATAGCGTCCATTTCACGTTATGAAGATGACTGGTTTACATGTATTTGTTTGAAGATCTTAATGCTTTTGAATTTTACTTTGTTATCTATTTTTGTACCATTTGGTTTTAATTTGTATCAACAATAAAATTATTTCATAAACAACATGTAACTATCTATATATCTTGCAGATTCTTACCAAATATTATTTTAAACTGAACAAAATGAAAAGTCATGAGACGTGTTTTGTGTTATTGCAAAGTGTGGTTATAAGGAATGCAATTAAGTAACAGTTCCTTTAGAAGTATAACTTTAAAAAAAGATAGCTATGAATAATTTTTTAAGATAATTTTTTTTTTCACATTTGCCTGGCAAACTCTTCAAAGAGCATTATCAACACAACATCCATAAATTTGTCTGCGTTGATTGACTTTTGGAATCGTGATACTGTTATCCTTACATCCACGATGCTTTGAAACACCATGAAGACATCAACAAGTGTCTTATCTGTGCTTATGATACATCAATGTTACCTTGTATCCACGGTGCATACAACATCAAAGGGGCGGTAGAGAATTAAATCACTTGTAATATCACGCACGCGTTGGAATCAATAAACCATTTTCCATGACAAATATATTGCAGTTATTATGTCCCCTTTCAATTTAAACTTATTCAAGATGAATTTGCTCTTTTGTCACAATTGATGTTCCTCTTATAACTGTAATTTTTATTGCATTTTTAAAGACTTTTTTGTAGTATGGTATGTAAACATATAGATGGTTACAGAGCCACAACTTAGCGTTCAACTGCAGGTAAGGGTAATCACTTTGGGGGTTACATATACCTCGAAATTATCAGCAACGTTCCAATGAGTCTGATAAAAGATTTTGGACTGCAATGATAAAACAAATCGAATATGACAACACAATGTGTATATGATGTTTATTAGTACAACAAACAGTGTCACCCCATTACTGCAATGGTGATGCAATTTATTACACCGAAATAATCGATGTTACCGCATTTCAATTTGCATTTAAATGTGACTGAGATTTAAGGCGTTTCATTCCAGCACTCCGATTACGTTTCCGTGGCTACGCCTTAGTTCACTGGACAGAACATCACTCAAGTGGTCAAGGCAAGAGTAAGCGGACAGTGACCAAACACTACACGGGCGAGGAGCTATATTTTGACCATACGGTTGTGCTGTTTGGTAAATTTATGTTATTTTTGTACTTGTCATTTTCTAATGAAATGGATTTGGATTCTTCACGTTAATGTAATTTAATTTATACTTCATATTCTGACTATAAGTTATCTTAACAACACATTAGCTTTCCCAAACAAGTTTTGAGTCTCCAATAACACAAGTTCAAATCATTGCGTTCAAAACAACCTATTTTCAGAGGATTACGATTATTTTAATCTTATATTTAAATTTCGATATTTAAGAAAATGTTGTGGTCTTTTTCAGAAAAAAAAAATGGGTCATTATCCTAAATTTCCTATGAGAACGACCACCATCAACTTATTTTAATTCGCAATACAATATATACATATTTAGATATGGAGATTATGGAGAATAAGCAATCAATTATATATATATATATCTGAGCGTAAAATCAGAAACGGAATATGTAATGGCCTCACCAATCGATATTGAATACCACGTGATACCACTTATCACCGTATACATGCATCGGTCTATTAGGTATACATATCAATGAATAGTAATAGAAATGAAATTCATTAAGATGAGAGATCATTACCATTTGATGAGTGTTTTCAATGAAATCGCCATATTTTAGATAACCAGTTCAATTTAATGTTTCAGTTGTATGTTAAAAGTATAAACACATGAAATGCGTCCTACCGCCAATCGATAGTGTGTACTTTGCCAGGGCTATTGTTGGGAATCAATTATCATATTAACGTTTTTCAGAGTCAGCTTATATTGTGAATCGTCAATCAAATATTCGTTATCTTCAATGAAAGTGACAAATTATGTGTTTACCTTCAGTTTCACGGTTAGTGACACGAACAATGGAGATTCGAACATAGAGATTTTTTTAATTGAGTTTATGCTCCCGACTCGAACTAATATCGAAGTCAGGTGTAAATAATTCCGTCAACGGTATTTTGTCATGTCATTTCATACTTCTATTTACTCTTTTTTTCATCCCGGAGAATCACTTTAATGTCAGCAATTTTAATAGCGTATTTTCCAGTCGTATATCTATAGTTTATTTAAAAACTAAGGCAATGATCAGTCTATATATGTAATTAACATCATTCCAAACATGCTTTGGTGACAATGTAACTCCGATTGTTACATACTTTGCTGACACTGTCACTCGGATTGTTACATACGTGTTGTGGCAATGTCACTCGGATTGTTACATACGTGTTGTGGCAATGTAACACCGATTGTTACATACGTTTGGTGACACTGTAACTCGGATTGTTAGGTACGTGTTGTGACACTGTAACTCGGATTGTTACATGCGTGTTGTGAAAATGTAACTCGGATTGTTACATACGTTTGGTGACACTGTAACTCGGATTGTTGCATACATGTTGTGACACTGTAACACCGATTGTTACATACGTTTGGTGACACTGTAACTCGGATTGTTAGGTACGTGTTGTGACACTGTAACTCGGATTGTTACATACGTTTGGTGACACTCTAACTCGGATTGTTACATACGTTTGGTGACGCCGTAACTTGGATTGTTACATACGTTTGGTGACACTGTAACTTGGATTGTTACATACGTGTGGTGACAATGTAACTTGGATTGTTACATACGTGTTGTGATAATGTAACTCGGATTGTTACATACTTGTTGTGGCAATGTAACTCCGATTATTACATACGTTTGGTGACACTGTAACGTGGATTGTTACATGCGTTTTGTTACAATGTAACTCCGATTGTTACATAGGTTTGGTGAAACTGTAACTCGGATTGTTACATACGAGTTGTGACACTGTAACTCTGATTGTTACATACGTTTGGTGACACTGTAACTCCGATTGTTACATACGTGTTGTGACAATGTAACTCGGATTGTAACATACGTGCTGTGGCAATGTAACTCTGATTGTTACATACGTTTGGTGACACTGTAACGTGGATTGTTACATACGTTTGGTGACACTGTAACTCAGTTTGTTGCATACGTGTTGTGACACTGTAACTCGGTTTGTTACATGCGTTAAGTTACAATGTAACTCCGATTGTTACATACGTTTGGTGACACTGTAACTCCGATTGTTACATACGTTTGGTGACACTGTAACTCGGATTGTTACATACGAGTAACTCGGTTGTTGTGGCAACTCTGATTGTTACATACGTTTGGTGACACTGTAACTCCGATTGTTACATACGTTTGGTGACACTGTAACTCAGTTTGTTGCATACGTGTTGTGACACTGTAACTCGGTTTGTTACATGCGTTAAGTTACAATGTAACTCCGATTGCTACATACGTTTGGTGACACTGTAACTCCGATTGGTACATACGTTTGGTGAAACTGTAACTCGGATTGTTACATACGTGTTGTGACACTGTAACTCTGATTGTTACATACGTTTGGTGACACTGTAACTCGGATTGTAACATACGTGTTGTGGCAATGTAACTCGGATTGTTTCATACGTTTGGTGACACTCTAACTCGGATTGTTACATACGTTTGGTGACAATGTAACTCGGATTGTTACATACGTTTGGTGACGCCGTACCTCGGATTGTTACATACGTTTGGTGACACTGTAACTCGGATTGTTAGGTACGTGTTGTGACAATGTAACTCGGATTGTAACATACGTGTTGTGACAATGTAACTCGGATTGTTACATACGTGTTGTGATAATGTAACTCGGATTGTTACATACGTGTTGTGATAATGTAACTCGGATTGTTACATACGTCTGGTGACACTGTGTAACTCGGATTGTTACATACGTTAGGTGACGATGTAACTCCGATTGTAACATACGTGTTGTGGCAATGTAACTCCGATTATTACATATGTTTGGTGACACTGTAACGTGGATTGTTACATGCGTTTTGTTACAATGTAACTCCGATTGTTACATACGTTTGGTGAAACTGTAACTCGGATTGTTACATACGTGTTGTGACACTGTAACTCTGATTGTTATATATGTTTGGTGACACTGTAACTCGGATTGTTGCATACGTGTTGTGACACTGTAACTCGGATTGTTACATGCGTTTGGTGACACTGTAACTCTGATTGTTATATATGTTTGGTGACACTGTAACTCGGATTGTTGCATACGTGTTGTGACACTGTAACTCGGATTGTTACATGCGTTTAGTTACAATGTAACTCCGATTGGTACATACGTTTGGTGAAACTGTAACTCGGATTGTTACATACGAGTTGTGACACTGTAACTCTGATTGTTACATACGTTTGGTGACACTGTAACTCCGATTGTTGCATACGTGTTGTGACAATGTAACTCAGATTGTAACATACGTGTTGTGGCAATGTAACTCTGATTGTTACATACGTTTGGTGACACTGTAACTCCGATTGTTACATACGTTTGGTGACACTGTAACTCAGATTGTTGCATACGTGTTGTGACACTGTTACTCGGTTTGTTACATGCGTTTAGTTACAATGTAACTCCGATTGTTACATACGTTTGGTGACACTGTAACTCGGATTGTTACATACGTGTTGTGACAATGCAACTCTGATTGTTGCATACGTGTTGTGGCAATGTAACTCCGATTGGTACATACGTTTGGTGACACTGTAACTCCGATTGTTACATACGTTTGTTGACACTGTAACTCGGATTGTTACATGCGTTTGGTGACACTGTAACTCGGATTGTTACATACGTTTGGTGACACTGTAACTCCGATTGTTAGGTACGTGTTGTGACAATGTAACTCGGATTGTTACATGCGTTTGGTGACACTGTAACTCGGATTGTTACATACGTTTGGTGACACTGTAACTCCGATTGTTAGGTACGTGTTGTGGCAATGTAGCTCCGATTGTTACATGCGTTTGGTGACACTGTAACTCGGATTGTTACATACGTTTGGTGACACTGTAACTCGGATTGTTACATGCGTTTGGTGACACTGTAACTCGGATTGTTACATACGTTTGGTGACACTGTAACTCGGATTGTTACATACGTTTGGTGACATGATATAAACGGTTACTCATTTATACCGCCATTTCGTGATCGAGTCCATCATACATTTCAGTCTATCCTATAGCATGTCTGTGCTGGTTTGACGGATAATCGGTAGCACTTTCGTAACTGCTCGTTAACTCTCTGCTCAAGTTATGAATATTCATTTACCTTTCCTTTCACACACTTAACATTTTTTTCATATCAAACCGTTGTCACCGCGCGGCCATGTCATTGATTCTAGGTTCCTGTTAAGTTTGTCAATATCAATCTATGTTATCTACTAATCTGCATATGTTTGACAAAGATGAACACGTGTTATTCCCTAACGGACTGTGGTATATAACAACCTGTCATTGTAACAGTAACTATGCATTAAGTTAATTGTGTTTGTAAAAGACTTCTTATATTATTGTTAAAGCTATGTTTCTATCTCAATATCAAGTGTATGTTTATATATGTAGCTAGCATGTGGATTAATATTGCATTGTTTCATAGCATTGATATCGGAATATATGATTAAGATCAACTTCAAAACAAGTAATTTCAACATAGAGTCAGATACCTCTTACAACGATTCTATTTAATGTACACATTAGGTATATTCAGGAACATGGTGCCAACAAAAATAACAAAGAAATAACAACTTGTTAACAGAATAATCATTCAAACACAGCATAAATCAAAAGAAATATTAACATGAAGACTCTTCAAAAAAATACAAAGATAAGAGTGTTCCGGAAGAGTTAGCATCTTCTGCTTCTTCGACGAAGCCCGACATGTAAATCTTGGTCAATCCATGAAAGTAATGTCATACTTCCAAATGAAAACACGTTAAACAACAACGGAATCAACAGACAAACCAACGATCTTCAAACAATTCCTGCATCATGACGTACAAAGACATAGAATATTTTTAAATGAGATAATTATGACGACAACAAAACTTTCCCATAATAATCATCTTCAACCTGCGTCACTCGAAACCTATGTTGTCAGTGTCCATTGACGACATCTTGATCGAAAATTGTGATATTTAGAACAAGCCCTAGAATATCAGATCGATGCCACGATGTCTTTTACACGTATAGGTTGGGAATACATACATGTACCAATCTATAAATGGGAAAAAATCACCATAGTATCACATAGCTTGGCTTAGCGACGAAGGTGATATCATTAAATACTTTAAAATCTTCATAAATAATAATGATAATAATAACAATAATAATTGGCTTTATCTATTCTTGATAGCATATTGAACAATATGCTCGACTTACATATAGTCATGAAGACGTTATGAATATGTTACAAAAACTGAGATTAATAAACAGTAGCATCTCATGAAAATTGCTGCTTCCGAAAATCAACTGTCAGATGTCAGTGATCAAGGTTTTAAAGAAATTCAGCTCTAACCTGATACTTTTGCGCTGTAGTAGAGCAGGAGGTGTACCATCCGTTAGTGCTTCACAAAGCTAGGATTTACTACAGGCCTAAACAAAAACTTGAAAATAACATTTGTCTAAAAACAATGTGAGAAACATCAATCGATCAACAAGACCTGAATTTAGAGATGATAACCCGACATAGCCGAATAAAACGCACACATGTGACGACACGGCACCGACAACCCTTACAGCTCGGTGCCAAACGAGACAAATTATTCCCGTTTTACTTAAAAAAAAACCGCGGGAATATTTGATTTGCATTAGTTTTCCGCATGCATCAATGCATTGACTATGAATGACAAAAAGTTGACAATTCCTTTTTCCGAAAATCTTTCCATGAAAAGTTTTATTGTACGATTGATGACATGTCATAAATTTTGATTCTGAATTGAGTTATTTGGGTCACTTTGAATACAGAAGATATGTCCATTTAATATACTAGTACTTCTGTTATCTGTGACGCATATTAGAAAAAACAAATCAATCAAACTCCCCTACATAGTCCTTATATGTCAGAATGTATTGAGCGCCATTCATGAAATTCTGTTTTGATTCATACCTAAGTTCCGAACAATACTGGAATGAAGCGTATCTCTCTATCACTGTTGAATGCTGGATTGATGGTTTTAAAGATGATGATGACGACGATGATGGTGCTTTTTCTCCCTTGAATCTTCCTGTTACTTGACGTTGTCCAATCGACTTAGGTCAATTCTCTTGCGACATGAAAGGGTGCGCCCCTCATGTGGCGGAGTCGTCTGGGGGTTGATTTGTTTATAACTTGAAGACGACTCCATCGCCTAATGGTTCCTCACTTGCTATTAATGTTGAATGAGATGTCAGTTTGTATTTTCAGCATCCACTAATGATCAGTGTGAGACAATTGATGTTGGACAGCACAAATTTCCCTTTGAGTTCCATGTACCTTCTACATGTCCCACGTCGTATGAGGGCACATGGGGTCGCATCCGGTATGAAGCTGTGGCTACTATTGAAAAGATGTTTGGTGTTGGCCATTCAACGATTAGTGGTTTCACTGTACTCAGCCACTTTGATTTAAATGAAGATCCTCGGGCACGGGTAAGATTTTTTTTACAGCCCAGTCCTCTAAATGTGTACCTTTCCTTGTCTTATTTCTCAACTTCACACATCAACGTAAAGAACGATATACATTCATTATCTTCGTGGACATTTATTCTAAATACGGTTTTAATGCGAGTACAATTTGGAATTTTTTGTCATTTTAAATCATATTTGAGATAAAGGATCACCTACTGCCATAAGTCAACCGAAAGGAAAACTTAGTCTAAGCCTTGTAATTTACTGTAGAAAGTTTGGATAGTTTACTTTCCTTTTTGTTTAATTTTTTATGAACCTGTTTCATGTTTGCACTTCATTAAATTTCTTATCTAAAGTACGTGTAAAGGTAAACCATAGCGTGATTTCTTTGTTATTTTCACAGTCGCAATTAATCATCAAATTATTCCAGTAATAGTAGGAGTTTATTATATTGAAAAGAAAAATCAAAGAAAAGTGCCCATAATCTTGTGTCCACATTCTTAGAACTCCAGATATAGTTATTCATTTTACAGATGTTCAATATTCAAACTGGCTTGTTGATCGCAACAGGTAGTACTCGCTAGTATAAACATCCGGTCGTATGGAAAGTTCAATTTGTCACGCTATTTTCTCATAAAATTGGCATATTGGATTAATCAACTAGCATAAATCAATGTATATGTTTATTGAACACTACTGTAATCCAATCTACTGAAGGATGTTATACGCCTTGATGGTAATCGTTATATATATATACATTCGAGACAATTTACATTTCTGGAGATAATTCCCATAAATCCATGACTAATGTATGGTGTTGGGAAAATATTGATATGTTACCGAGGCAGTTTTGTTGCAAGTAACTGCTAAGAGACATGTATACAGAATGGTTTCTTTTCATACAACCACATACAATGCCTTTCAATTTACAAACAATTTTGTACAATGAAACAAGATACACTTGGCATTTACTGAATAGACTATGAAATCAGAGTTCAAGAACGGAATAGAGTATTATTGTAATAAAAAGAAACGTTTTACATGTTTTATGTAAGTAGTTTTCTTCGTGTATCCAATCAGGAGAGTACCACGGCAGAGAATGAGATGTCCCTTTGTTGTCTGTGCTGCAAGTCTGGCCCAATCACAGCATCTCTTTTCCTGGACTGTGTTGGATTCGTTCCAGGGGAGCGTATACCGATCCGAGCTGAAATACTTAACCAAAGTAATAGAAAAATTGCGGGCATGACCGCGTCGCTGCAAATGGTACTTGTCATTTAGTCTCTTATACTATGAGAGCAATAATATAATGTATACAGAACGAAATAAAAACATCATCGTGTCTTTATTCCTTCATAGTCATTTTTGCTAAATTTTGTGGAACATAACAATCGATCTCTCTAGGACAAAACTTTTAATCATAGTAATGTTGGGAATTATAAGTTAATGAATGAATTCTTTTTAGAAGTACATTTGTTGTGTCCGAAGGAGGGATATTAATAGCCTTAACTTAAGCAAGAGAGGGAACATTAGACATATGTATATCTTTAAACCGTTAATTTGAGCTGTTTTATCTGTAAGATAGTGTTTGCCTTTGTTTCAACTTTGTTGCCACTGACAACGAAAATAAAACCGAAAACGCTATACTATATTGAAAACTATTTTTGTCAGATTGACTTTAATTGCAACATCGACAGCTTTCCATCAAACTGTATGCTCATTTCAATTTCCTAATTATGAATTTTCCATTTCTAGATAGCAATATGCCTGCATCCCCAACATATGTTATTTACATGTCACAATTGATTCAATATCCAACGGCCTTTTCCCATTATCATGATTTTCAAGGAACAAGTCATCAACTAACCGCCAAAATCGCCACACAGTGTGTCAAAAGATGCATGTTAATGAAAATTATGGGGAAGTTTTTTGGTCCCAATTGTGATCTCATTGAGAAATATTCAATTTCTTTGTGTGATATGAAGTTTAACGTGCATGATGCGCGTTAGTTTGCCTGTTGGCTCCATTGTTGCATACCTTGTTCTCATTTGAGGACATGACGTTGCATACTTGAATCGATCAAGATTAAGATATCTTCTTGTCTTATTCTTCTTGTACATTTGCAGGAGTCTCTGCGTATGGAATTATAGATAATTATTATGTTGACATGTTTGTATTTTTTTATGTTTTTTGCACGGATTACCATCTAAATATGGGAATAAATAAATAAACAACGACATTGTCGATATAATCAGGTACTATCGTTTTCATTTCAGTCTTCAGACGATTAAAAAAGTAACAAAATCGATCATTCTCGTTATATTTTGCTCAGATTGTCAAGTATTATGCCGTAAAGAAGGTTAGAACGCATACAAACATTATCGCCTCGGTCACCAAGTCTGATTTCACCTCGGCAAAATCAAAACTGGTCACATGGTCTGGTGACAAACTTGTCGTGCCTGCTGTTCCGCCTTCCTTCGTATCTGGCTGCCACATAGTCGACATCAGCTATGTCTTAGAGGTAGGTTTACTCCGTAAAAACCACGTCTAACATCGGTTGTCAAAGGTGAATAAAATATTGTTTAATCTTTAAGACGCAACAAAACGACGAAAGTAACTTCAGTAATGACAATGTGTAGAAATCTTAATCTGAACCAAATCGCTATTTGTTGTTATTTATGATACATTTTGCGAATATAACATTCTCACGGTTATTGTGCAACATATATGATATGTTTCCATGAATATGCGTTCTCCCTCTCTCTTGCAGTATAAAACTGCAACACGCGTTTTTTCAGTGAAGGATTTTATTTGCAAAGAAATGATTTTCCTCGGTTATTGAAAATCAATTTTGAAATGTTATCCTTTATATGAAGTGAAGTACCCATAAATCAATTAAATAGATGGTCTATTATGAAAGATTGGGGAGTTTGTCAATATCGTGTTAACATTAATTCATGTTGATACATAAAATCACATCAAATTTCTCACTATGTCAGCTGATTGTAAACCCTGCCGGCCCTTCCTTCAATCTACCTGTTAGGATGGAGGTTATCGTTGGGACCAAACCTCTCAAGGAATCCTGGAATACTCAAGGAAAGTCCAATGACAGACTCAATCGAACTCCCGACCAAATAGAGACAGACGATGCAAAATATTTGGAAAATAATGGAGCGCATCCTACAGGGAAACACACCAATGCTGACCAGGTCAACACCAGAGAGATAAAGGATGAGATGGGCTCTACAAGCAATGAACGTATGTATGGATATGGGAGACCATAACTCGCATAGTGATAAAAATATGTCGATACCATCAGTTGATTTTTGTTTAACTAAATATTCAACTAGTTAAAACATGTTGTGAATTATGGTCGTTTAAGTTTAAGACCAAATTAATGTCAATTATGATCTGTTATTAATTTTTTCCAAAATTGTCTCCCTTTATGATTCACCATAGGCTGATCCTACAAAAAAAAACAAGCTGTATAAAATTTCTACTATTAATTCCAGCAGAGATGGTATTTGGGGAGTGTATCCTCGGATCCGCAGACCTCGTGGATAATGACGAATTTGAAGAGATTCCAGGACCCGTTAATTTCACGCCAATGTATCCCTACTACAGCCTTACAAACAATCAATCGTCCTTTGATAGAAGTCCAAACAAACATTGATATGACATTATTTTGATCTTTATCTCTGTTGAGTCAACTGTGATCCACCTTACATTTAGTTATGCGTAACAGCAGTGACATCTTTATGGACATTTTTCCATACTTGACCAAGCCATTAAAACAATATTTGATATATGACTTCACACAACTTCATGGATATTTTTTTCCATATTTCACCAAGCCATTAAAAAGACATTTAATACATAGCTTCAGACCATTTTTTTTTCACGGAAGAATTGACATTATTGATTCGATGTCTAGAGTGATAACTTCATCAAGCATATATATTTTACAACACGTGTTAATACATATGCATGCTTTGTTTTACGTCTATTGCTTTCATTTAAATAAAGGATTAACTAGTATGGCTATTTCTAACTTGAAATGTGTATGCTGATTACACCTGCATTAAATATTATTGAAAACATGTAGATATTTCCGCATCGCCTCCTCTGGTTCAATAAGATGTGATATTTATTTCAGCTGTCGGGGATCATCAAACGATGAACTGTTGTAGTGAATACCATAGTTTATAGCCAACAACAATTATGCATCGAATCATCACTATTTACAAATCGCACATCAACAAGTAATAAAATCTACCTTACTTCGGCGATTGGAATAAATTCATGAATAATGCATACAGATGTAGACCATGGTCGATAGGATATATTTCCAAGCTCAGTGAAACGTCATGGTGTGTGAACAGTGTATATTACCACACCGCTATTTAATACAGGTTATAGAGAAACTCAATTGAAATGTCCCCGTCGAAAGGATTTGCTAAATGTACCTTATATTATTTCTCAAAACATATGTCGGATAAAGAAATTATCCTGAACATGAACAATGAAGAGATTAATATGTTGCTATCTTAATATCTTCTTTCTCTTCAATCAATTTCACCAAAATCAGAGATACAAAAACAATAACTAGTCATACATAACCAGAAATACGCAACAAAAGAGAACCATGTTGACATTTTTTTCATCTTTTTTTCAAACCAAAACAAATCAGAACCATGTTCACAAGTATAGTTTTAGCAAACAAGTTGTATGTGTAGCATGCATCCGATGTGGTAGGTACAGAAACGATAAGTGCCAATATCTATGGCAAACCATCCACAGCAATGTTTTATTTCTGTCTTTTTATCCCCAATGAATATGTATTGATCAGTAGAAACCAGGTTAATGCACTAGTATTTTGCTGATTTGTCTCCCCTGACACTGAAAATTTGTGAAAAATAATTGGATGTGTAATTATTCAATGTGAATTGCTACTAAAATGATACAGCCGTTGACACATTTCCTGTGGCATTTTACATCATACTATTGCCTTCGAATGGCCGACATTTGTCTGATTTAAAATAAGCTGCCAATCGTGGCCGAGAACACATTCTATCCTTGAAACTTTTCAGGGTCGGTATGTAGTCAGCATCGTTCCAAGCGTCCGGAAACTGCGACTCTGTAGCCCTCAAAACGTGCATTAAACCCAGATCCACATACGTCAACTTGTTTCCAAACATGAACCTATTTAGTAGAAATGTATACAATAAATCATAAATCCATCACGGATCCATAGCATTATCGATCATAAAACAAAGCTGATAAATGATAAAATACTGGAAACCAAAAACTAAAGTAATGTTTTCAACGGCATCCTATATAAGGTATCATATTTGTTCCAATTTTGAATGTGACGTTGGAAAATATTAATTGATTAAAATTGTGTTGTTCATGTTTTTTTTTTTTTTTTTAACTTTGTCAGAAGTTTATGTTGCAATGAAAGAAAAAAGCGATCAGAAAATGATCCATAGATAATAGTCGTTCATCAAGGTTATTTCAACAATTGTAGTTCTGACGACATACCAGCAGGTGTAACCTGATACTGATATACTGATATTTATCAAAAGCATATTACCATGAACAGGACATAGATGAAGTATTTGGACACTCAAGAGATCAGTTTGGAGATATTTTATTGGCACGTTTAACTTTTGTATTATGGTCAGTCATAATAAACACCTCATGTTATACAACTGATCTTGACAACATCTGTCTGTTTAGATACTATAGGAAATTCACCATAAACAGTGAAAAACATAGATCATTTATAATTATAATAACCTAACATCAGGATAATAAGGAAAAAAACTGTTCCTAACAAGGTAGAAAGTTTCAACTGAATTCCACTACAGAATAATCTACCGAATGTGACCTTAAATGACAGCAACATGCGGGAATTGTTCAGTTTTAGATGAAACGCTATTCTACAATGTTTTAACTGCATCTACGCATTTCTCATTTAAAAGATAAACAATAATACACAGAATAAATTATATTCAATAACATTGCATATACATGTCAAATAAGATATTTCCGATGGTAAACAAGTTTGATGTTTATATAAATATCTTTCTTTAAAATTTATGCAAGCTATATCATCACGTTTACGGTCACAGATATACTTACCCCGTCCCGCCGTTGTTTGCCAGTAGCACTTTCTCGAAATATTTGAGCCACATTGGCATTCGTTCTGTGACAAACCGTTCTATGTACGGTTTTGTTTCTTCTATCTGATTAAAGTAGGTCATTATATGGTTGACACCATGGAAACTCAATCTTCCTGTTGGTAATATAAACGTAATCACATGAACAATATGTCGTGGTGTTGATCAAAGCACATTTCCTCTATAAATATCATTATTTTTCACAATCATAAACCATGGACCATACCACCTTAATTTGAATTTCAGTTTCAAAAGTATTATATATAACCAGATCCACGTGACCATTTTGAATCGATTAGATAGTCGGACCTTTGCCGCATCACATCTCTGTTGTCATATATTTGGCTTTAGGATAAGTCAGTTTTTTCAGAAGATTTGTTTTCACTCTTTTCATTGGGGTAAGTCTGCAACATGTATTTTAAACTAATGAAAAACAACAATTTTAACAATTAGATATTTCATCATATTTCACTGAAAAATTGTAATAAAACGACGTACCTTCTGCTATGTAGTCGTGGATTGTTGCGTTGAGTTGATCAGCATGCCATTCGTCATCTTCGTTGTCAGGATAAAGCCCAAACTTTTTCCCCAGATATTTACATATAGTTGGGGTTTGGGAAAGATGAAAATCTCCTGTAACATTTTGAAGAAGAAAACTGAGTGCTTATGATAGACTGATAATTGGTTTATAGTTAACCTTTTCAGTTATTGATCAGGGCTACAGTGCTTAGTGAAGGAGATGCAGTCGTGACAAAGATACTATACCGAATATTAGAATGTTTGTAAGGTTGTTACATCAACCAGACGCATGACAATTTACCGTTGCAAAGAACAGGCGGAAACTTGACGGGAAATCCTTCCATCTTCCCTTCTTTCACCTTTTCAGTGATTACTTTCGAATCATCGGTGTCCTTAAATTCAATCCCGGCCTCTACAAATATTACACGGATGAATTCACCTCTCCCAGCTAGAGGCCAGTACATCAATTCCCAATTATCAGCCATGTTGAAAGACGAATCTGAATTACATTAGAACAGTATAATTCATGTATGTCATGAAAAATATCAGAGATGGTATCAAAGCTTGATTAAAATAGTAACACTGCACTTTATCTAATGTTTCCTTTACGGAGATTACCAGACACATGTTCCTTAAGTAAGCCTTAATTTGCAACATATTCTAAAACGGTTGCAGCATGAACAGTCCCAAGAGATACGATATAAACTTATAGAGTAACAGAATTTATAAAATGTTTCTTCATAACAGAATTTTCAACTGAATGGTGTTGTTTTAAGAGATTTTCTTCACGTTTATACATTCCAACATAGACTTGTACTCTTCTTCCTATACAACCAACCCTAAGCAAGTTATATCCATCCGAACCAGGTCTAATGTTCTGAAATTTGACCTTACACTGGCTGCTCAAATGAATACACACTATGTATCTGCAAACGCCTTCTCGATGTGCTTAATACGAATATGTATACTTATGAATTTCAAGATGTGCATGGACATATCAATATTAAAATAGCAAAACTTATCATTCATGGATCGATGTCGGATTTATCCTGTCTTACCTGCCTAAGTCCTTACACCTTCTCGTGCTGTAAATACAAACGCTGGGGTATCGCTATACTGGTATATATGTACTACCTACCTCACATGCGTGTACCTCAAGATACACAGTGCTGTTCTAAAAATAGAAGCACTTCGGCGTCCAAGCATTAATGCATACATATAACTACGGAGGTAATTTTTGAGAACATTGTAATGAACTGATATTATAATCACAGTGACATAACATTTGATAACAGTCAAGGTTTAACCTCTGATTGACTTGCATGATGGTTCACTATCAGTCTATTAAATGGCTACAACCCAATGTCTGATTCAGATGGTGTAACCATACTATAATGTTTAGTTACCATCAATACATAATCTTGATTAGTTCTGAAATACTGATAAAGGACTTTTTTTTTCTTTTTTTTTCTTTTTGTGACCTTTTCTCTCCCATTCAGCGGATAAAGGAGGGTTGTGGTGAACACGTTTCGTTGAAAAAAGATGCCGTATGTTAACACCGCTCCTTATTACTGTATATATAGTATGTCCTACACTCAGCAATATTCTTAAAATCATATTATTTAATATTACTGAGACTATCGATCTCAGTCAACTAAAATGTTTGATAAGATAACTCATGCTAGTCGGAACGATGTGTTCAAACAAAATAATCTGCGGTAACCACGTATGGTAGGACATTCTTACGTTTCTATGTCGTTAGGATGTGGAACAACTTATGAAATGAAATTTACAGTTAAGGGTATTTCTTGGGACAATCTGTCCTGTTATCAGTTCGCAAGGACACATATTTCCATAAGTTCATGGTATGTCCTCAATAAACATTACTATTAACTTGTGTCTTCTGTACAGTTGGTAGATTTCATGACAAACTGTTAACTAGAGTGTGTTACCTCTTTTAAGCTCTATTAACATTGTTATAAGAAACAATTAGATCTTGTGATGACAGACATTCGCATCGAAATTTCTCGATTTCCCTTTACGACGGCTGTCAATAAACAGACATTTTATCGTACTACTGAAAATACTAGTAAAACTGATACATTACGAAATATCGCTTCCATTTTCCGAACTATGTACATATGCATTATCATCTGTTGAAATGGAGTGAAGAAACCAGGAGAAGTCGGACAAGGTCCAAAATGGCACCTCGTCCATAACATTGCCAAGGCTTCAGAACACCTAGTATTAAGTGATAACAAAGAGAAGTGTACGATACCATGTTGGTGGAATAATGCGATGCCACGTATCACTGTACAGGATGTCTGATTGTGGGTAGAACGGGAGCAGACTGTATACCGCAGCAGAATTTAAACTTCATCTGGTTTCGTTCAAGAGAAAGGATTAATTGGAAGTAGTATAAAAATCATTAATGTCGACAGAAATAAAAGAATTTTTACAAACAGCATTATAAAAATAAAATCAAGTTTTCAATGACAAAAGTACGTCAAGCCAGTATCAGTTTAGGCATTCGTCTTATTAGATATGTAAAACAGACGGCAAGGACACTCCATTTATCAAGTGTCTTTGTAACCATATCTTGTAACAAAATGATTGGACATGACAGACCGACATATAAAGAATGTCACATGATATCTCAACAAAGATATATAATCACTGACAATGATTTTCTTTCTCAAATCCACAATGTCTCACCGATTGTCTGAAGAATATTTACATATCAAACCGTCTCTAAGGAAAATGGTTGATGTCTTGGCCATAGTTTGTTAAATATTTGCGTGCTATTGAAATAACGTCCTGTTTTATGTGACATAAAAATCATACGTAAAAGTTTCAAATTTTACTCATTTTGATAGTCAACAAATTATGTACTACCTGTTTTAGTCTAAATGTTAGGGAATCATATCTAAACGTATTGCTAAAACTACAATTTTGTTAAAGGATGCGCTTGTCATGTGCATCAGTACTGATAACAGTTCCGTCTGTGCTCCGATAATTCTTTCAATAAAAATCATCATTCAATGGTATAATCCAACTGTTGATATACGCACTCTCCAAAGTCGGTTTTAGTATAGGAGTGTCTCCACGAAATGTTAGTTATTTTAAATTGGGAGAGTACAGCCATGATAATAGAGGGGAGTGGGGAGCAAAAAAAATCCCCAAGCCTGTAAGACACGGAAAACCCAGAAAACCATTTCCTAGGATCACTAATAGTGGCATTGAGAAATATATTGTCAAACAATCTCTTTGTATATTATCAGTATAAGATGTTGCCGGCTAATGACACATTTCTCACGAAAGCCAGTAACATGACAAAATCCTCTCGGAGCAAAGAAAGCACTTCGGGTTGGAATACATCTACACCCATGAGTCTACTTCAATACCAGTTTATGATATGATATTAAACTGAAACACAACGGACTTATAAATGATAAGATTTCATGTATCATTATCCGTGGAAACACCACTGTATATATGTGTGTCTATTGACTACAGGTAGCGACTTGCATGGATCGAATTAAATTTAAAAATGAGATGATATCAGTCGAAATATGTAGAGTGAATTTCGTCAGATATATGAGAATTCAACACATCTCAATTACTTCATGAGAGACCTTTCCGATATGAATTATCTCCCCTATCTGTGTTCTAGCAAAGTACGGATTATCTCCCTTCTTCTAGATATTGGCTTTAAATCATCAACTGTTTTGATAAATCTCCTTCCGTTGTTATATTATTTCAGTTAAAGAACAATAACATCCATAAGCGTTTCTTTCTCCGAGGTGATCATTTTGTTTTCAACAGTTGTAAAGGCTGTAGTGTTTAGGAATAAGCACGCGAACCAATCTATCGATCAATAATATTTCGTTTCTCACATATTAAGATATGATGAATTAATCAATTACTACTAAGTGACAAAAATGTGTCAAACAGACACCGACACACGAAACACGTTTAGTGTATAGTGAATAACGTTTCTTTAAAAAATGATGTTTAAACAGAGGAGATGGATATCAAGCATGTAATAGATTATAATCATCCAGCACCTTAATAAACCGTGTATAACTTCAAAATTTTAAACATGAAAAGATCGGAGTAAAACAGCTCTGTCATAATGAAAGAGATTCATAAAACATCCCAATCACAAGAAATCATTTCTTACTGATAGGGTCATTTCAAATGATCGTTTGAACGATATCATTACATTTCTATGGTAAATGGTTGATAACTTGGTTAGCCTAAGACACGATAAAATACTTGAAATTTCTTTGTGATATATGACGACCAGTTATTTTTAAAATGGCGAAAATATATTTTTTACCACACGGTTGACTTTGTCAGTCACATACACTGAAAAATGAGTGGGATTTTTCGCTATTAAGGAATGTGTCTTGTGCACCGTTAGTGATGGTAGTTCTGCCATGGTTTCAGAAATTCTGTCTGATAATAACGAATATGTTTTATTATTTGTGTACATGAGGTTTGTAGACACTCAGTATTCAATGTTACAACTTAACCATTGATTTGCCCCCATACCCGGTTTTGCATATATATATATATATATGTATATGTAAAACAAAACCTAGTGAGACAATACATTAATTAGATATTGAAAAGGGGATTTATTATTCCGTAACAAATGATTATATTTCTTGGGATCAATGCATACTTGGGTCTTCTAAGGGGGACTCAACTTGATTTCTTTTGTTATAGCTTGAAAAAAAATCCCTAATTAAATAATGTTTCGAAACCTTAGAAAAGCTATACTGATTTTAGTGTAGATGATTGCCAATCGGCTTATGTAGAAGTTGAGGTCAAAAGCTACCAAACAATTGCGGTGATCTGCGCGAGGCGTGTGCCATTGGTGGCAAGCAGAGCGTTCCTACCCGCCTTTGTGTGATTGTGTTGCCCTTGTGTGTGAGTTCTACACATACCCGTACGTCAGACTTTACCGTCCCCAATACACAACCGTTACAGTGAGGAGTATAACCGTGAGCAGCCATGCCTGAGCGGATCCACCGACTCCAGTCATAGATAACGACACACAAGTCTAATGTCGGAACCATTCCCAACCTAAACGGGACTCTTTCTGGAAGTTATTTTACAAAATGGAAGAATGGATAGTGTCCTTTCAGAATCTACAGCAGTACTTTTATTTACCTGGCGATAGACAGGTAGTTTTAATTACAGGTAAGTTATATATTATACAACTCTGTCCTTTAAATTGTATATTTTAAAGAATGGACTTGACTTGACAGGTAGGGGTTGTGTGTGTATTTAGCGATAGAGAGCTACCCGATAACTTTACCGATAGTTAGATAGCGTCCAAATAGACTTTGAATCGACCGCTGTCAGATGATAACCTCAAACACTTTATATAAAATGGTTTTAAACTGTATGTGCTTATTCTAGATTGATGTTCACATTTCTTTAAAAAGGACCAACCTACACTGTAACTTAAAAA